CCCCCCCCCCGTAATCCCCCGCTGTCGTCACCCCGTGGAACGAGGAAAACAATGAATTTTATAGGCAACATTAAAAATAATTTATTCAAACTTTATTTTTCGTCGGCAAATGGAATTCGAATGAAGCTAGAATCCCGTGTTCTGTTCAGTGTTGTATTTTTTATTTATTTATTTATTCAAAAAACGTGACAAGGTCGTGTCGTGTATGTCATTCGTCCGTAATAAGTGTCTCTCCTCCCCACCGCGGGAGTTTGAGAAGAGCCACGCATATCCAACGGTCGTGCGACGAGGTGACGACAGACTGGGGCAAAAGGTTAGTAAATAAATCAAATTTAGTGAGCCACAGGAGGAGGGTTTGTCGTCGTTTATGTTTAGGCGAGTTTTTGGCCCCGTTGGGGTGTATAGATGGGGATTACCCGGGGGCTTTGGAGGGCCTACTGTGAGACGATGGAGTGAGATAGCTCGGTTGGTTCAGACTTTTACAAGCGCAATAATAGGGCATTCAACAGTTGCCCATTGGGAGGTATTTAAATTCAAGTGGTGATTTTTTTTATTGTATTATTCGCTGTTCAATATTATTCCCATTTTTCATTTCAGGGTTCGTTAATATTTGTTATTGGACGTCATCGAATTTAATAAATTGAATAGTTAAAATAATTGTTTTTAATAGTGATTGAAATTCTAGAATAAAATAAGCGACACTATTTTATTTTTAATTTAGCCTGCATGAAATAAATAATAATAATTGCACTGTTCGATACTGTTCAATACTTTGTTATAGCAGCATTATTTTATTTCTAATTTCGCCCACATGAAATAAAAAATCCGAATTGTATTAACAAATCAGTAACGTAAATTGATAAAAGCAATAAATTATAAAAACGTTAAAACAACTTACCTCGATCAACAATTTTTCCAAATAAATTTTTCCCCCTCAAAAAATTCTTAGTCGAGCAATTCCACCTTCTATTCCTAAACTGATGCTGGCACTCCATAATAGCCTGATTAGCACCCCTAGCAACAGCCATAAGTACCCCAGGATTTTCCCTGGCTAATCTCCTCTGTTTACGCCTGAGTGTAGCATAAACCGTCGGATCCATGTGGAGTGACGCTGGTGACATTGGCAAGAGATTGTTGGGCTCACCCGCTTTGGCAATTCCCCTGTTCAACAGTAAAAATAAAAACCCAACTCATAACAAATAAAAATAAACTGAAAAATCACTCGTGCGATGCGTGAGAATTGTCAGGAGCCAACGGTACTTGTACTTGTCAGCAAAATTTCTCTCACGGAGGGAATTCAATTAATTAATTATTTATTCAAGAGCATGCACTTGAACTGGTCCTCGCGCTTTTACGGTATCAATACGTGAGAAGGTATTCCGTCAAGAATTCCATCGAATGAGGAAGCCAGGGAAAAAAATAATCGTTCGAAAATTCACCCCCTCAGCACAACTGGAAAAAATGTCGTTTCGCCCCCGAAAAAATCGTACACTCTCGGTAAAAAAAATGTCACGTCGAACGAGTGCAGCAAAACGATGGAAAAAAAATGTCACGAAAAATAAACCGGCTTCGTCGCCCTCGTTCCCTGAGAATCTCCCAAGAATTCTAAATGATCTCCGGGGGCCAGTGCGCACGCCCTCGTATAAACACTCGACAAGATTGGATCTCACGTCGCGCTCCAAGTGTCGTCGGTCTGGTATAATAAACAGTCCCTGAAGTTTCACGGGTTGACGTTGACGTGTGCCCCTGCCCAACGATTCCAACTGGCGCAAAAAAAATGTGAGAACGAGAAAAAGAGGGGTGAGAGATAACGGAGAACGAGGGAAAAGTGAAAGTACTCGTCTCGTATGAAATTACAAACTGCGAGGCAACACCTGATTCGTCGACACGACAGAACGAGATAATTATTTATAATTTATATTTTATCGCTCGTGTTGACGGTAATAAAGCAGTCTCTTATTAAATTAATAACGATGCATTGACATTAAATTGTGTTGACTGGATGTTCACGGCTGAACAGTTTCGTTATTTATGTGGCGTATCGCTAGCTCGGCCTATCAACACCTAAAATCATCAATTATTTCGTTGAACAACCGGCGTAATTCAAGCGCTTGATGTTAATTATGTACGTACCACCACATGGAGCCTCTTCCCCGGTTCTTATTCCTGCTTATGTCAGCTGGAACAGTCGGCACAGCCACAGCCAACGCACCCAGTATCATCCACAGTCTCATTGTAAACAATAATAAATGTTCTCGGACAGAACAAATTCCTTGTCACCAGTCACTCCACCGTTAACGTCAGATCACCATTACAATACTTATTAATCCACTCCCCCCGCATTTAAATTACTTCAACTCGAGTCGCTGGGAATTCGGCGCGATAATTTCGTTCAACCTCCGGCGTTTTTTTAAAACGTGAACTTGACACTTGACGGTTTACTCGCGTCAAGTTGTTGGGCTGTCGAAAATTGTACTTTTGTGTTTTTCGTGGCCTGAGGGTACCGATACTTCCGCAAGACTGCCGAGATGTCTCAGTTTGTGCCGTCTCTCTTCCCAAATGTGTGCGCAACCCCCTCCGGTTTTTCGACACTCACTTTTTCTCCATTCGGAAAAGATGAGAGAGAGAGAGAGACGGTACCTGAACTACCCGAATTGGGTAGCGCCGACGGGTGGTGGGGATAAGGGTCGTTTTTACCTGCCAACCCTCCCCCCCTCTTCTAGTTTACCCCGGGCCAGACTATTTGGTATTTCTGAAATCGTCTGGGGGGCGCGACAGATCGATCTGATTGACGCAAAAATTCGGAAATTTTTTGCACTGGGGGACACCGGGGACTGCTGGCGGCTGACGGCTCGAGGTACTTGTAAAAACGTCGGCTCAATGGTATATAACTTTCGACGAACAAGTATAGCGCTACGGCTAGCGACTGCACGCGTTTCACCGCGGAAGAAACGATCAGCGGTGAGCAACTATACCCCCACCATCGGGGAGACCTGGGACTCAACTGACTCCCCCGAAGAGACCGATTAAATCTCGGCCACGCCTTTCCCCCCTTTTTCAAAAGCCCCTACTTTTATCTTCACTCAATTGTTTTTCGTTGTTTAATTATCTTTTATTTTTTTTTTTCTGATTTCTTTCTTTTTCATTTCGCTTTGGGTTTCGTTTTTTTTGCTTTTTTGGGAATTGATAGGATTAGTCGGGTGGTGATATCGTGTAGCTAAGGGCAGGCGGAAATTGTGGGAAATAAAATAATCAGAATTTAATTGTCATTTTCGAATTGTTTTTTCTTACTTTTTATTTTTGTTCCAGCTTGGGTATTTCATTTTTTTCAGTTCTTTCGTTATTTGGCGGGATATCAAAGAATTAGTCATAGCTGTGGCAACATTTATGCCAATTTTCCTAACGTAATTTCTTTCAATAGAACGTCTGTTGCAAATGCAGTAAAATAATCTCAAGAGAATCATTAAAATGAAAGGAAGAATGTCAAAATAACAAACAGAATTTTGGAAAAAAAATTGATACTTTATTTTAGTAACTGAAACTTTGATTTCAGTTAAGGTTTTTACGGTTTCTCATTCCTTCATCCCGTTTTTGCAAACAATGTTTTTTATCCGCAATTTTATGTCTTGAGGTGCGTGGCTACCCATCCATCTGGTGATCACACTGACAGAATGACTCATTCATTCCAAACGAGATTCGTTAACTATCAATGAATGGTAGAGTTGAATATGGCAAAATAAATATTCGTTAGTGCAGTGTTAAAATTTTCGCCTGAATTTTTCCGAATTGCACAAATTTCAGGAAATATTGTCATTCAAAAATCAAAATATTCCATGAAAATGATTTTCTTAACTATTAACATTTGTTAATTAGCCTCCACCCAAATCCATTTATTAATAATAACTAATCCTTTCTATCAATGCACTATAGGGCAATGTTCTACTAATTATTTTAGCTTCCTCAGCCTCTGGAAGAGTAAAATGCCTACAAAATCCTGAAGTCACTGAGATCCCAACATTTACGTCAATTATCATATAATAATTTCCAAATCAGTCGCAATTGCAATTAATGTTCTTCAACTCCATTCGATTGCTGTTTTTGATCAATATAAAGTCAATTTTACATGAAATGAATTAATTTCTAGTGATTAATCACGAAATAACGGAAAAAATTTCAGAATAAAAACCTGAATTCTCCCAAAAAGAATTGGTTTCACTATTAAAAAACAATAAACACGAAATTCAACATTATTAATTTTCAATCATGCTAATTATTTAATCCCTCCATGAATCAATGAGTGATAAATAAATGGAATAAATTACAGAATGTATCGTTCACAAACAAATTGTTGGCAAATAATTGGCCTAGACCGGGTTTTTAATAAATAAAGAACAATAACGACAAACATAATAGGTTTTACAAAAATTCCTCGAGTATTTCACAAACCAATGAAGCAACATTCGATAATAAAAAACCAAAAGGAATGAGTAATTTGAAAAAATTATGTATAGCCCACGAGACGATAATAATTTCACGCCTTACGATTTACCTCACAAATAACTTCCAGGAACAACACCACCCGAGGTATCGATTATCGATCATTATCTCACCAAAGTTAGATAATTTTCATTGGGTGATGGGTTATTGCCGTGAAGTGTTGTATGTATTTTCACCCAGCGTTGGGAACACGTGGTTGATACAGCCAGTGCTCGATTAAAAAAACCCGAGGGGGCGGGGATTAGCCCGGGCCCCGCCCACCGCCTAGGTCCCTCCCTGGCGGTGATCGCGGTGGCTCGGCTCGACTCCCATCTCTCTCCAATTTTCACCCTCTCCCCCGCCCGGCGCTCAATTTTTTTCCTCATCTTCTTCTTCATCTTTCTGTTTTACTCTCGGAGAGCACTCCCCTCCCCCTCCGGGGTCCTCGAGGAGTATGGGTTCGCGCGACCAGACGGGATGACGAGAATGCACGAGAAATCGAGGTGGGATGACGCGCGCCACAGCAAAACCGTGTGTGGGAACCACATGACGGAATGCAAGCGTAGCTATGGTACCCCCCTTTGGTTGTACATTTTTTTTTTCGTTTTTATGCATTCTGTCTACTCGGTTTTGTCGTTTAGCTGGGGTATTCTGGGGGAATTCAGGTGAAGTTTAATGGAGAGGATTTTTTTGCGGTAGAAATTTTTTCGGTGAATTTCCGGTACACTTTTGGAAATTTTTACCGCATTTCAGGTGCACTGGAAGCTCTAAGAATTTCATTCAAGCGCTTATGTGGTGTTTTTCGTTTATACTTTTTTTTTGTTTTTGTGCATTCTGTCTACACTGATAGAACGGATTAGTTATTGTTAACGATTGGATTTTGGTTGGAGGTTTGGGTCTATTCGGTCCCATCAAATGTTCATTCGTTAATAGTTAACGAATGTACATTTGAGGAGCCTTGTTTGACTTGACTTTCGCCATTCAAGTGAACCATTCGTTAATTTGGCGTAATTTGGCACTGAATATTCATGTTTTCATTCAAAAACAAAATTCTCCACGACCAGATTCTCCGCAACTGTTCCATTATTTTAGTCGTAATGAGAAATTTAGACGAAGTTACAATTTTTTAAACAAATTATTATTTTCTAACAGTGCCCTCTCCAAAATTTCTGGCATGTCCATGTCTTGCGGTATGACTGTCTCCCCAGCAACTCCAGGCAAGATCTCCAACTAATTTCGCGCAATGACGCCAATTACGTTTTTACCGAGGCTTTGGATTCATTTATTTGAGGGAAAAATACAAAACGAAAAAAAAAAAAACGCGAACGATGAAGTTTTATGGACCGCTACACCCAGAGCTCGACCCGCGAGAGAATCGTGTCGGTGTCCATGGTGATGGTTGGACCACATCCACGAGACAAGGATGATGGCTCAACATCTCCGGGGGTGGGACAAGGTGCGCAAGAAAATGTTTAAAAAAAGAAACAGGTAAGAATGAAGACCGGAGACGAGAGAGAGGGAGAGAGAGGCAGACGAAAGTATTTACCGTGGGGAAGCAGTTTATTGTCAGCAAACAAAATCCAAGGCAATTACACGAGGAATGTCCGCACAGGCTCCCTGACCATCTCGTGTGGCACCAGAAGCCACAGGAATCGCGTCCATGCGCGCCTCTTCCCTTCAAAAAGCTCGGCTCATTTTCCCCTTTATCTGTATGGGTGAGAATGGCAAAAAAACGGGGGGAGGAGGGGGAGGTATTATACACAAAAGACGAGTTGAAAATGTATGTGGCCAGAGGGGGATCTTAAACGTGGCGACCAAAAGTGAGGGAAAGGAAATAACGAAGGATAATGTACACATCTTTCATGATGGCGAAGGCTCCTGAGGGGGAACGATTCACGGTGCACGACCCAGAAAACATATCACTGGTGGATTTAAGAGGCCGGGAGACTGACGAAATGTTTTACTGGCGTTCTCATGATTTTTGCAATGATTTCTGCGGGGGCAAGGGAGTTTTTACGAGTGACAGCGAAATTTAGAGGGAAATTTTGGTTTTACAAGCGTGATTTGATGAAAAAATCAGGGAAAACTGCAGATTGCAACCGTATATTCAATAATAATTAATTAGAGTGAGGAAAATTCAGGTGAAGATATTCATAAATTTTTAATTAATTTAAATTTCAAGGAAATTTGTATTTATTTGAAAATTCAAATAAGAACAAAACCTGAAATTTCAGGAAATGTCAGGGAAAATCACCAATATCAATTGTAATATTTGATAATAATCAATTGAATTAAGGAAAATTTCGGTAAAAATTGTTGTAAAGTTTCAATGAATAGAAATTTCAGCTCAATTTGCGTTTATTTGAAAATTCAATTGAGAACAACGCCAAATTCGCTGGAATGTCAGTGAATTCAATTCCGGGATAAAAGAAAATCCTGATATCCGTTCAGTTCAGTTCAGTTATCATCATAAATTGACTAAAATTCCACATTCTTCAACAGCAGAAAGACGAGGACTCCCTAACATACTTAAATTTTCACCGAAAACGTGAGGATTCAGCACCAAATTCGGCGGAATTTCCAGTCAACCAAAAATTGAAGAATATATTCACTTGAATTTTTGTCCCAATAAACTCCTAGATTTTCAAAGACTGAATTCCTTGAAATTTCAGCCAAAAATACAATACTCAACAGTTGTTCCTCCGCATCTTCAGACCCCCGGGGCAAAACGGCCAGCTCTTTCCCCGCCAACCGAATCTCATTACGAATCGATAATAAAAGCAGTCGTGTTCCGCGCTATTTCCGTCCTGTTATTAATACCCAAAAATTATTGAATGCTCCTGAAAAGCTGCCACTAAAAGCTCCAGATGGCTCTCGCTGTCAGATGCCCGGTCT